GCCTAGTGCCTTTTGTAGTTACAGGGCAACTGCTCCTAAGCACTGCCACACAAGCAACTCCAATGGCCAGTTATGCCAGGTCAGCTATGACCACCTCCTTTGGTTCCAACACTTTTGTCCAATAATGTTTAATCTCAGTACTCACTTTTCAAAAAAAAAAAAAGATTGAAGAAGAAATGTGACTGATAACTGCTGGGCTCTTTCCCTAAGTACACATATAAAGATATACAAATGTAGGGTGGAGCCTGTGGCTCAAAGGAGTAGGGCACCAGCCCCATATGCTAGAGGTGGCGGGTTCAAACCCAGCCCTGGCAAAAAACTGCAAAAAAAAAAAAAAATATATATATATACAAATGTGCTTTGGAGTGAAAGACAATTTGATATGGTTTGTGAGTGATACAGCACAGAATATTTTGACTTACAATAATCACTTTTATGCCACTTAGTAAATTTTGTAGGTTTTTAAAATTTAATAATTTTTCCACCTTTCCTACCTATATCAATACAAAAAGAGAAAGTAATACCTCATTATACAAAGACTGAAAGGATCAATAGTGAAAGTCTAAAACCTTTTCTTTAATATCAAGCAACATGCTACCTGGTCCCCACAACCCCACACCACTGTCCACCCATACTGGACCATAGCACAGGAAGGGCTACTTAGTACGATTATAAAACACTGTCAAGTTCTAACCTTGAATTTCATAAAAGAACCATAGTAGAAATGTCTTTTTGTAAGAGGATGCTAAAAGCCAGCTGTATGGCACAGCGATTACTTTTGGGGAGTAAGAACATGGGATTGGGGCCTTTCTCCCTTGTACTTTTCGCCTTTCTTTACTGCTCAAATTTCTAATCATGGTCTTGTATTTTGCTTTTAAAAAATGCTGTTTAAAATGGCAATCAATAAAACAATTTAGTTATTTCATTTTATTTATTTTTCTTTTTTAGAGATGGGGTCTTACTCTGTCACTGGGTGGCAGTGCAGTGACACTGTCACAACTCAATGCAGCCTCAAACTCCTGGGCTTAAGCAATCCTCCTGCCTCAGTCTCCCAAGTAGCTGGGACTACAAGCACCCTCCACCATGCCTGCCTAATTAAAAAATTTTCAAAGAGACAGAGTTGCTATGTGGCCCAGGCTGATCCCAAACTCCTAGCCTTAAGCAATTCTCCTGCCTCAGCTTCACAAGTAGCTTGGATTACCAGCTCAATTTAGTCATTTTAAAACCAACTATAGGTATGCTATTTATCTGCAAAAAGTTAAAAAAAAATTTATTGTCTTGGTGCCTATTGCTCAAGCACCTAGGGCGCCAGCCACATACACCAGAGATGGCAGGTTTGAATCCAGCCCAGGCCTGACAAACAACAATGACAACTACAACCAAAAAATAGCTGGGCACTGTGGCAGGCGCCTGTAGTCCCAGCTACTTGGGTGGCTGAGGCAAGAGAATCGCTTAAGCCCAGGAGTTGAGGTTGCTGTGAAAGTCATTCTCTTTTTTTCACACGGTTAGGGATTCATTTATATGAAATATATAGAATAGATAAATCTTATAGAGACAGAAAACAGAATAGAGGTCACCAGGGGCTAACTGGAGAAAGGAACAGAGAAGAACTGCTTAATGGTTTAGGGGGTTTTCTTTTCTTTTCTTATTTTTTTTTGAGACAGAGTGGTCATTATGTCACCCTCGGTAGAGTACTGTGGTGTCACAGTTCACAGCAACCTCAAACTCTTGGGCTCAAGTGATACTCTTGCTTCAGCCTCCCAAGTAGCTGGGACTACAGGTGCCCGCCACAATGCCTGGCTATTTTTTGTGGCAGTTGTCATTGTTATTTAGCTGGCCTGGGCCGGTCATTCTCTTTCTGTAAGGAATCTGTGATACCACGACACTCTACTGAGGGCCGACAGCTTGAGGCTCTGTCTCCAAAAAAAAAAATAAAAAATTTATGAGTTCTGAGGGAGTTTAGACGTTAAATTACAGCACATACATATCTGAGAAACAACCACAATGCTCATCTTTATCTAAATATCTAATAAAGGAAATAGTGCTTTTTAAAGAACAAATTATCCCTACAGGCATCAAAAAAGATGTGTGATGTTCCTAACATTCTACTGTCAATACCTTCTTCTCTGCACTAGGGAATGCTGGAATCCTGTGTGATACTCGTCTACATAGCCACAGCAGAGCCACAATCACATTTATGTTTATAAAAGATGTGTGATGTTCCTAACACTCTACTGTCAACCCCTTCTTCTCTGCACTAGGGAAGGCCAGAATGCTATGTGATACTCGTCTACATACCCACGGCAGAGCCACAATCACGTTTATGTTTCTTAGTTCATTGTCTGTTTCATTTCATTACAGGAGACAAGACTGTTACTCCCAGACTCCATACAGAGTGCTGCACATTGCCAATATATGTGAGACATGGACAAGTACCCCCAAGAGATCTCAAATCAACCAGACGACTCTAATAACTCAAAGGGCCAAGAGCAGGTTATTTTCTCCTGACAGAGTATTATTTTCCATCCTACAGCATGCTCCAAAGAGCACAAGTGTTCCACAAATTGCTGGGGGGTACAGAGTGATGGCTAGAAAACAAAGTCGGGGCAAGACAACAGTCAAGCTCCAGGATGGGTCAGGAAACGTGACCTTAACTGCATGCTCCCTGCACATGAACACAAGCCAGCCTAAGCTTCTCTCACTTTCGTTAGAGAGAAGTTACCTTAACAATTATTCATTTGGGCTCGGTGCCTATAGCTCAACTGGCTAAGGCGCCAGCCACGTACACCTGAGGTGGCAGGTTCGAATCCCCAGCCCGGACCCGCCAAACAACAATGACGGCTGCAACCAAAAAAAAAAAAAAATAGCCAGGCGTTGTGGCGGGCGCCTGTGGTCCCAGCTACTTGGGAGGCGGAGGCAAGAGACTCGCTTGAGCCCAGGAGTTGGAGGTTGCTGTGAGCTGTAATGCTACGGCACTCTACCCAGGGGGACAGCTTGAGGCTCTGTCTCAAAACAAAACAAAACAAAAATAAACCAATTATTCATTTGATCAGGATGCCTGGCTGTTTCTTGGGCTAATAATTTATAACATGGACTTTTCAGTGACTAAGAGATCTAGGGGCAGATCAAAAATTAACAGCAATCTGTGATTTTTTTTTAACCCACTGTATTGTAGCTTCTTGCCAGTCGGCTCATGCTCTTTCAATCTAACAAGCTACAAAAGACAGCCGTCCAAATATCAACAAACACAGTGATGGATATATTACTAACGCTGGACCCACATAGGAAAGGACACAATGCTTTAGGTTTGAGAAAGGAGGATCAGAATACTTCAGCGATGGATGGGCCTATACACAAAGAGAATAAGAGGCGTGCTTAGGCTGAGAGGAAGAGCGTCACACACTGTCTCTCTCACTTGAGTCTGGTGTTGTGCTAGGGCTCTGGCCAAAGCAAACTAAACTAATGCGGCTCCTGATTTCCCTAAAGGAAGGATAGAGAAAAAAGAGGTGTAAACTGGGGAAGTGAATGCTGAGACACAAAGGACATGAAGAACAGAAAAGGCATATGAAAAACAAGCTAGCATGATTTACACCCTGAAAACAATCCCAGACCTACGAGTAAATACACTCTAAAGATACTTTAGCACAAGAATGCTAGGAGCCCTGGGAAAAACATATTTAAGCATTACTGCTGATGTCAACAAATAGGAAACAACCTAAATGTTCTTCAAGAGAAGAATTATGATATATTCACCCATACAACAGAACACTATCCATTTGTGAAAATAGTTAAGCTAGAGCTACCATACCACACTGACGGTTCTCACAAACTACTGTTGAGTTAAAAAAACCAAACAAAACAAAAACTAAGACACAGAACAAACACATGATGGCATTTATGCAAACTTCAAGAGCATTCAGAACTCCAAAGAACATTGTTTAGCGATACACACATACCGTAAAACTACAATTCTTTTTAAAAGACAAGGGAAATGATATGATAAACACAATTCAGGAGTGTTCACCTTTTGCAGGAGGCTGGGAGGGCACCCTGAGGGCTTCAGCAGAATTGGTAATCCTGTTTCTTAAGCTGAGTGAAATATAAAGAAGTTCTTTTCATCATTTCTCATATCCTATCTAGAAGATATATGCATGAAATCATATTAAGGGGGAACAGGAAACAGAGTTGAGGGTGGAAGCCAACAACTCTAACTCAGACTTACACATCTATCTGCCCATGGCTGGGGCACCAGGGTAAGGAGAGCCTAAGACTTCAAAGCAATTCTTTCGCCAGGTGACAGAAAGAACACCTCCAGGTGTCTATTCAAGGGGTAAACTGTAGGACTCTGCACACTGTCCCCACACAGTTGGAAACAGATTTCCTTCCCAAAACAGAAAAAGAAAATATTCCCAAACTCAGGCCTACTTTGCCAAAGGAAGGAAAGTCCCCAGATGGTTCCAACAGACATTAGAATAGGTTGAACTTGGTCACCAGGCAGTAACCTTGGACAGCCCTACAGGGCTGAGACCAGTTTCCAGGCCGAGGAGGGGACAAAAAATGGGACTCAGAAACTAAGAGCACAGAGCCCAGATGGAGGTGAAATGGGAAGCAGAGAACCGTGTGTACCAAGCGCTAACTAGAGCCTCAGGGTTACTACTCGAGCTTCACCTGGAAGGGGTGGCAACCGAGTTTGGCACGTGCTGAGTATGTTGGGAAATAATATAAAAAACGATCTGTACCACATCTGTGTGACACATGTACAGCCCACGGGCGCCGGTGCGACAGGAGAGAGTGACTTACTCGGGAAACCAGTCCGTCAGGAAGGCGGAGAGAGCCCCAGGGGTAGCCCAGATAGACCCCTCCGCCCGGGGAGGGGCAGAGGGGGGGCCGGGCCCGGGAAGGGCGGGTCCTGCAGGAGCCAGGCCGGGCGGCGGGACCACAGGGCCAATCTGGGGGTGGGCCCCCGGGCGTGGAGCCGGGAAGGCGGAGGAGGCGCTCACCTGGGCACGCAGCTGGACGAGCTCCGGTCCACCTCCCAGGTGGCGTACAGGTTCATCTGCACCGGGGCGGGGGTGCGGCCTGGCCCCGGGCCGCCGGCGGGCGCAGAGCCCGAGGCCACCGCCACAGCCATGGAGGTGGAGGTAGACGAGGAGGAGGAGGAGGCGGCGGCCGCCGAGGTGGACGAAGACGACGAAGTGGCCTGGGCCAGCTTGGGGGGCGTCGGCTGCTG